AAATAGTAGTTTCATGGACACTATATCATGAAAAAAACATGTGAACTGTTTTTGATGATAAAGGTAGAATTAGGATTGGTGAATTCGCAATTCTGATAAGGGAATTTTAAAAAGTTTTAAAATTATGACAGGTAAATTTTAATTGTACAAACTTTTTTTTAACAACTTAGCCTATTAAGAAAATTTAAAATTGCCTGGGAAAATAGGCTTTCATGCAAACAAATACATGGAGACTTAGTGGATAGAGAGCAATGTGGGTGAAGGTGCCTCATTTTCATACTAAACAAACAAATCTCAGAAACCTTGCTATAAATCATGTAGGGTCCCTTGAGAATTGTCCTTACCCAGGAAATATACTCTCACTGTGTTAAACAAGGTTGTAGTGGAAGTTAAATTCCAAATTCTTAAAAAAAGACATCAAAATATTTGAATTGACCTTTAATTACCAAACAGTAATTTCCTGAAAAAGATAATTTGATAAAAATATTTAGGGAGAAAGCGCCCTCCACAATGAAAGAAGGTATTGGGTTTACACTTTTCTGATTGTAATATTTTCCACAATATTTTTGCACGTGAAGCACTGAAACACAGAAAAAAATCTGATTGGATAATTCAAACCAATGATTTCACATTTCTAAGTAGCTCACAAAATATGAGATAGTGAAGACTTCTCTTATTACATAAGCCAAAAAGTTTGTGGATCAGAAAAAAATTGAGCAAATTGAAAAGGTAAGAAAATGCGTTCTTTGAAGCCCTAGCTAAGCATATTGGCTTGAGCAGTGGAGAGAGGCCAAAACATTTTTATATACATGTGTTAATATTTTTGCTACCTAAAGTGATTTTTCAGAGCCTATTTGGCTCACTACAATGCAGGACAGATTGAATGAAGACATGAAAATAAATTCCACATCCAAATAAAAGAGAAACCATGAAGATAGAGCAGTGGGGGAGGCCTTATAGTCCGTCAGCTTCACTAGACTTGAAGCCAAGAAGATGTGATTAATTGGAAATCAGGCAAGAGCTAAGAGGAGGACATAGAAGTTGGACATAGAAGTATTATCCATTTTAACAGACTGTCATCCAAGGTATGGGTGATTTAACACTATTCTTCTCCATACATATTTTTGAGCAAATGCAAGACCAAGAGAAAAATAATCTATTGAAATAATTTTGTAAATAACAACTTCACTGTTCGAGATTTGGTATCTAAGGAGAGTCTTAAGAGAAGATAAAAGTGGAGTATTTTCAGTTTCCTCTAAGCATCTTGTTAGCAAATTATAACTTTGAGTTTAGAAGTGATTGAACCAAAAAGTTGAGGAGTACTTATTTTTGTGGGCATTTTAGACATAAGAAGACTTTCAAGGTAAAAGAAAAAAGTATAGCTAAATATTTGTGATCACAGCTTCTTGGACTGGTTTTTGGAGACAAAGTTTTACATTATACTTTGTCCTCATTAACATAGATGTTGGGATTTTGTGGCAACCAAATGCAAGGGGGAAGTTTAATGGACTCACTTGGACAAGTAAACAGCATGATAGACATAAAATGGCCAATAATATTTAGAGAATTAGTTTGACCAATTACTTTGCCAGAACAAAGAAGGAAAGATACAGTTCAAAATCACTTGACTTAAAAGTATGAAAAAAGAGTAGTGAAGAGAGATGAGAGAAAACCTAGAGGACTCTTTTCTCTCCAGTGTAGTAATGGGTTCTTGATCTTGTTTCTTCCATTCTATTCTCACAAGCTATAAACTGTGTCTCAGGACTGGAGTATCCAGTTCAGACAAATAAAACTCGCAGAAGAAAATATTTGCATTAGATGTAGGTGATTTATAACCTTAGGCAATGTATTTAAATTTGTTCAAAATTCTCCCCTAACCCAAACTGCCCAATTTTAACAGCTTTGGTTGCTTTTCCAAAAGACTGCCCTTCACCAACTATTTAAAATTTTGAGAGGTCATATACATACTCTCTAGAGATTTCCTTTTCGTTGTGATTTTTGTGTTTTTGTTGTGTTTTTTTCACTGAATTTCAAAAGGTCATGCAAGTGTGTTACAATTAAATATGTCCATATAATTGTCCAATGCTCCTGAATCAGAGTCACTTCTATCATTCTCAACCAATCCCTTCTCCACGATTTATTTGATTTACCACTTACTTTATCATATGTGTACATTGAGTATTCTAGCTGTACTTGCCCCTTGTTTCATTTTTCATTACTTCTGTATCTTTTCTATTATTCATTTCTTGTTTCAGTTTACTGATAGTCATTCTGTTAAACTATCTGGTAATAGTTTGAAAGGTTTATATACATACCATTGAGTTTCAATTCTGCATATACTTTAATAGATGTCAGCTTATATTTCCATAAATTATTCATCTGCCATAACAATTTGCAAGACTGGAGATGTGAAGCACCTAGACATGATTTTATTCTCATCCATTTGGAAGATTCATCTTAGTCAACAAGAAAGTTTAAAAATGTCTTAGAATGTATTCCTAACTACCAGTTTTTATAAATGGCTTTGTACAATGGTTTGTGATTATTTTATTTTACATGGGATAATATTTTCTACTACCTATAAGTTTGGGAAAAAGAAGAAAATTAAAATTTACTACTATATAGGAATATGATGGAAATAGATGACAGATTTCATGTTTGTCACATCTCTGATGAGTCCCCATATTCAAGACTTAAAGACATATTTCTTACTATGCTAGGCAGATTGAGAAAACATAAAACAACATATGATAAGGCAACTATTCGTGACTTTTTAAAATATATCTTATTATGTGATGAAATATTTTAGTTATTGTTTAGGTTTGACATTTGGGGGGCTGATCTACTTAACACATTTCTGGAAGCCACCTACTGAACAACACAAATGGTGGGTGGTATTATTTCTACACTTTTGTGAGTGGTTGAACCGGTTTGCCATTAGTGCTGGGTAAATAAATCAGCTCTATTGTAACTTGCAGCCTAGACTTGAAAAAGTTGCAATGTCACTAAGCATCATTTACTAGTCAAATGTTATTTTGGCGAATGTGATTTTTAAAAGTTTATTTGAAAAGAAATATATTTTCATGAGATTAAATGTAGGTTATCATTGATTTGAGAATGACAACATTTTGATACAACAGAACCAAGTTTACTGAAGTACCAGTATTTTGAAGAACTAAGGATCGTCTCAATTAATGTTTTTCTGAATTATATTTGACCTCTAAGTCAAGTTTTTCTAGCCTTGGTAGACTGATTATGGATGTATCGTTCCAGCAACTATTTTTTGGCCTACTTATGCTAGACTGAAATCTTTCATTAATCATTAGTAGAGGGGCATTAAAAATAATTTTGTGACATTTGTGAACTTTTTCACTCATATGGGCTGGTCATCTGTAAATTGAAAGTTTGAATTACTGTACTTTCTCTCAGATTTTGTGATCTCATCTTTCATTTTAAGTTGCCTTGCAGTTCACAATTGCTTACTGCTAATTCATTTGTCATAAAGAAGTGGAGCCCTTAAATATTATAGGAAATGAGAAATTGAGATGGGTCTTCAATTACTTTCTGTTGGCATGTTGCATGGGCTTAGGTGAGAAGTCTTGCCCTCGTTATCTGATAATGTAGATAACTGGGACCTGGGACCCTAGGACCCGTGTGTCTTGCAGAAGAATAATACCTATTAGACGTTATATCAGCAAAATTTGGGTATGATCAGTAGGAATGCTTCAGAAATATGGAGAAAAACATTTTGGGACCAACGAGTTAAAACAATAAACAGAGCAACAGAGTAAAATCCCTTAGAGATTAGAGGAAAACAACATTTTCTTTTACTAGGGGAATTCAGAAGACCAAGTACACTTAGAAGGTATCACAAGTTTATACCAAAGACATTGCACTGATAATTTTTGTGTTCTAATATATATTCTAAGCCTAACTATTTATATTCCAATTTATTTATTGGAATAAATATCCATTTATTTGTCAAATTATCAAATAATTCTGGTAAGATTCACTGTGTGAAATATAAAATCAGCACATATAAATATAAAATATATAACTATATTTAATATAAGAAAATGTTTTGCATTGTTCTGTTGTGGTTACGGTATCAAAGGCTACTCTGTTTTAAAATAGTACTCCATTATCTCTATCTCAGTGTTTGGTAGAGTTAGACCTAAAGCTTTACCATTTGTAGATTTACAGCCTAGAGGCAAATGGAAGCATTGTGATTAAAACGTTACCAATTTGCGACCTAATGTACAGAAGAAACAAATAGACTTCTCCTGGAGATATGGAAATATTTGGTGATAGAAAGGCAATAGTGTAAGTTCCTGCTTGGTTGGAAGGTCGACAGGCCAGCACATTAGGTAATCATGCATATGAACAATTTTTGCACCTTCTTGGCTTTAGCTACTTTTGAAATGTTAGGCATAATAAACAATTATATTTTGATTAAATACCTTCTAGCCTGAACTGTTCTGTTTGAACTGTTCATGTCTCTATGATCCCTTGTAACTAAGATTAGTTTTGTTCCAGTAAGATAATCTATGCTGTCAAGGTAATATATCCTGGTTGGTCTGTTCCTACAAGGAAGAAGGGTAAAGGGTCAGAGAGACATATGTGCCAGTAAGACCTCATTTGGGAAATTTTAAGCTGCAGAAATTTAGAAGTAGCTCTTAAGCAAGGCTTACTTTGAATCCATTAGCTCCACAAAGCTAACTCAGTTGATAAAGCCATCACCTGTGGACCTAGCTATAAATGCTTCAAAGTATGATCAAAACTAAAATGAAAAACACTTAAAATAGTCATTGACAAAAAAAATTACAAATGTGAGCAATCAACCAAGCAATTTAAGTTTTTTCCAATATACTCAGAATTTTAGAGAAATATGATCAATAGCATTTTTAGGAACAATATGATATTCTTGTTGGAAATAGGCAAACAGGGGTATATGCCTGTATAAAGATTGCATCGTTAATTACTTAAATTTACAGGATACTATATTCTTCAGCAGTACGTCTACACATATTACAACAATAAAGAGATTAAGATGGCACTTGCAAAAAGATGTTATGAAAATTTGTGAAGTATTCCATATTTTTTGTTCTTCAGATGTAAGAAATGAAAAACTGGAGCTGGGAAGTTGGGTCAGTGGTAGAGCACTTGGCTTGCTTGCTTGAGGCCCTTGGTTCAATTCCTCAGCATCACATAAGAAAAAAGCCGGAAGTGACGCTGTGGCTCAAGTGGTAGAGCACTAGCATTGAGCTGAAGAGCTGAGGGACAGCGCCCAAGCACAGAGTTCAGGCCCCACGAGCGGACCCCCCCCAAAAAGAAAAAGAATTGAAAAACTGTTATTAAAAAATTGATGACAAAAATACAAGTCTAACAATGCACGTAATTAATTGAATTAAAAGTTAGTTTGACATCAGTGTGTTAAATCTACACCTTAGAAAGGCCTTTACATTGCATAACTTTTACAAAACTTTTGAAATTAGATAACATTGTCATTTTATCCCAGAGAAATAGTATAAGGACCTAGGGAAAAAGGAATCTTAAACTGTTTCTATATGGAATGCAATCTGAAAGGACACATTTATTAATGAACCTATGTATTATAAAACAATGTAGAATTCAAAGTATTATATTGAGGTGAGAATGAAATAGATTATGGACATTATACAAACAGAATACAGAATATTTTAAAATATATTTTTTCATACCAGCACCAGAAATATCTTTAATTTCTGTATTACTCTTTTCAACAGATAAGTTTAAATTATTTCTGATTAGAAAGTCACAAACTCTGCAGAAATCATTATAGAGATATAGAAACAACTCTTGAATACATTCTGACATCAAAGTCAAGCAATTCACTTGGAAGAATACCATGGAATTCATGAATTTTTAAAGTAAGATATTGTTGTTGGTTTGTATTGTGAAAATATTTTGTATGGACACAAAGATGGACTGACATTTTTGAAATTTAAGAAACATAACCAAACCATTTTTGACTTAGAAGAACAATTTGTACAGCCTTCCACAACTTCAAAGAGGTAGTGATACGTAATTATCCTTTTGTCAATATCAAATGCAGTTTCTTCCAAATTTTTCTTCAGACCTGGGTTGATATAGTGGATCAACAGAAGGAGATCCAGCGTATCTTTGGTATTTCTATTCCCAGCAGCAAGATGCAAGGGGGTCAAGAGAACTTTAGTTTCGGCATTGGTATCTGCATCATGATGAAGTAAAAAAGAAGCCACTCTGGTATTATTCCACATATAAGTACTGTGCAGGGGTGTCCTGCCATTCACAGTTATTGCATGAATATCTGCCTTGAGACACCTACTCATGGTCAATGTCTACATGTCCACTGTAGGCTTCCCGATAAAGAGGGGTATACTCATCGTCATCCTTCGTATTCACATGAGTGGCCTTTTTGGAAAGTAATCTCCACACTGTAGTAAGCCGATTATTTTCGGCAGCCCAAAGAAGAAATTTGCTTGGATACTTCTCCATTTTTTCTTGCAAATGATAAAGTTCCTCACTTTTTCATCTTGTTCCTTGTCTTCATCAGAATTGCCTAATCAGAGACTTTGAGTACCAGTGGGAATGAGGTGTCCATGTATTTCCCCAATAGTTCACGTTGGTTGAACTGGTCAGAAAAATCCAGAGAATTTTCTGCATCTGTTTTTTTCACCATGATTTATTTTCTCTGTTTCCATTTTTACTATTCTAAATTATTCTAGCTGGAGAGTAGGGAATTGATGGAGAGCAGAGGAAAGATTTTCCTCAGTATTCAAAAGTACAGACTCAAAATGAGGGCCAGTGGTGTCTTCATGTGCAGGTTATTCTAGGAATGAGAAAATAGGAAATAATGCCTTCTATGTAAATGATTTGGGAAATGGCAGAGCAGAAATTGAAATGATGCAACCAAAAATATAAAAGCAAAATAAATTAGGATAATTATGGAACAGTCATATTATCTATGAGAAGCATGAAGGGGAGAGAGGAAGAGAAAGACAGATGTGCAATGACCTACCTGGCCACAAAATCCATCCCTCTTATCAATTTATAAAGCAAATAATTTTATTTTTAAAAAAAGATGGAAATGGAATTTATGTATTTACTTGAAAATAGTAAATATATTTTTAGTAGCCTACATGAAGAGGCATAGCTTTGACCAAATTACAGACAAAAATCCAAATCCTTGATAATTCTAGTAACAGATCTGACTGAAATCATTTGAATTACACTTTTCCTATACAATGAAGGAATAGGTCCAGGTTAGGAAAACAACTAGAGAAGGCAGGCCAATTGTATCTGTGACAAAACTTTGTGGAAAATGGTATTGAACATTACTTACTGGTGATCCATTTACGCTGGAAGTGTGATTCTGAACTATTATTGTTGTTGATTCTGAACTATTGCTTTAATCATTATATTCTCCAAGAAGAAAAGGTGAGATTTAATTGATAGCAAATACTACTAATGCACTTTGACTTCTCATTAAGCACCTTCAATCATCAAAATCACCCGAAGACAGTAGACAGGCCTATTTTTTTAGATGAAAACAAGTGTCTTTTAAAAAAAAAAAGAAGAAATTTAAGTATTCCTACAAAGGACTCCTATTTTACTACAGCATTATACATTTTTTCTAATGATGGATAACGATAAATAATGGATTGAGTAGAAAGCACTTAAAGCTCATATGTTCAATAGTGAGTTCTCTTATATTATATCATGATATTTTTTCTTTATGGTCTTAAGAAGAAATTTCCTAGCTTAAATTTCTGACAGGACAATGTCATCACTGTACATCTTGCTTCTATATTCTCAGTTTTAAATTACTATCTAAGTATGTGCATTAGATAATTATAGAGGAAAATGTAGAAACCACACTGGTGGCTCATGTCTTTAATCCTAGCTAATCAGAAAGATGAAATCTGAGGATTGTGGTTTAAAACCAAACCAAGTAAAGAAAAAGTCCTTAGATTCTGATTTGAAAGTAACCAGCAAAAGCTAGAAATGGAGCTGTGGTACAAGCAGTAAAATGCTAGCCTTGAAGAAACTAAAACAAAAAAACCAACAAATTGTGGGACAGAGCCAGGCCCTGAGTTCAAGTCTTAGTATTAGCACCAAACAAATGAATTAATGAATTAATTAAAATAAACTAAGTGGTCACATGTGGCGAGGCAAGTAAAATGTAACACCCGTGGTGACGGGATTGTGTACTATTTTGTATTGAGGTAAATTATCATTGGTCCTAATCACTAATATTTAAGTTGAACCTTTTTTTACTAAACCCTGAATTTAGCATGCATGTATATGTGTGTGTACATGTGCCCACATGTGTGTATGTGTATATGTGTGCGTTTGCTATTGCAATATTGCTTGCCAATGTGGACAGGATGAGGCTGAAAAGAGCTAACTGTGTTGCAATGTTCTATTTATCAGTATTCTCTCATGTCATTTCAGTGGAACCACCCTTCAATAACATCATCATAATCGAGGCATTTACAACAATAAGTTAGATAAAAGAGATCACTTTCAGCTCTTATTGTATGTTAGGGAAGAAGATACAAACATAATTAGGTACTAAGTTATCACTGTAAGATGACTGTCAGTACAAAATATGTATTTGACCTCTTAAATTGGTTATACTTTTAACGTATACTCATGGAGTGAGTTTGACCGACTTGACCAAACAGGTATTTCTCTGTGTTTATTCCTGTGAAACACCAAGTGGATAAACTCTTTCCGGATTTCTGTTGAAAACAACTCTCTTTGTAAGATCGTATCTATTCTTTTCTTTTTTTTTTATTTTGAAAATACTGTACATAAGAGTTACAATTTCATGGGCAAGATAATGAGTACATTTCTTATCAAGCATTGTAGCCTCCTAATTTGTTTTCCCTTCCCATCACTTCCCACCCTCCCCCTGCTCCCCCACAATCCTCCCCCCCCACTCACGAAAGTTGTAAAGTTCGTTTTCGACCTAACGACTTGTACATCTCATTGTTGCAATGGGTCCACCTGTACCCCTATTTAAACCATTTGTTTTTCCCTATCCCCTCCACAAATTATACTGACATCAAATTCAGTGAAGGCAGGGATTATACTGTGCGGGAGGGACATACAAAGCAACAAAGAAATTATCTTATAAATGTGTTAGAAACAATCGCATGAAAGAAAAAAAAAACCTTTGAATACATATCTTAGGGTTCATTTCCCTAACATCACCTTATCTGACCTTTTGTGCTTGACTCAGACATATACTAGATATTGCAAATAAGGGAAACCATGGGACCTATGTTTCTTTGGGCCTGGCTTACTTCACCTAATATAATTTTTTTCCAAGCCTTTCCATTTCCTATCAAATGGGGCAATCTGTAAACTTGTTCAACCACTTTGGAAAGTAGTATGGAGGATCCTCAAAAGACTCTACATAGAGCTCCCCTATGACGCAGCAATTCCACTTTTTGAATTTACCCAAATGTTTACAAACAAGACCACACTAAAGCTACCAGCACGAATATGTTTATTGCAACATTATTTACTATAGCTAAGATATGGAACCAACCCAGATGCCCCTCAGTAGATGAATGGATCAAGAAAATGTGGTATATATACACAATGGAATTCTATGCCTCCATCAGATCATATCTATTCTCACTAAGATAATGAACCCTGTTTTTTATTAGGTTTGAATATCCCATCATTTTGACTGAAAATCACTATTGTGGATATGCTTATTAGATATACATTTCAAAAACAAAAAAAAGCATGTGTCACCTCCAGATTGTAGATGCATTTGAAGTTGTTTTGTAAATGCAAAGGGGTCTTCACTAACTGCCTTTTGTGGGAGTAACTTTCATAACTTTAACAAATAATGTTTTCAAATATCTTTTCCAGTATAAATAACATCCCAGAGAGAGTCTTGCAATTTCTCAAAACTCTTTGAATATTTTAGTATTATTTCAGTTCATTGACTATAGAGCTACAGACATTTCTGAAATAAATATTGTTAAAATCTGAAAATGTAAGTGGGTATATAGACTTTTTTATGCATCTTTTTATGAAAACCCAGTTTTTCTGAAACTAA